AAATATTTTAAGAAGTGTAAAAAGTCAAAAGATAAAATTGTAAACGGATATAAAAAAGAAAAGAAAAAAAAAGTAAACACGTATATAATGTTGAAAAGATAAAACTGTTTAAAGACGAATAAAAAACACAAAACAAATTAAACAAAAAAATGTATAAGGACAAATAAATCACAAAATAAATTAATAAAAAACAAACAAACAAATTAAAAGCTGTTTAAATCACGCTTTTTGGCTCCTTTTAATACTTCTTATTTGCTTTTAGTTCTTGCGAGAGTCTTCTTCGCCTCCTCAAGGGCCGTCCTGAAGACTCCGCATCCTCCGCTGCCTGCAATATGGGTGGTTGACACCTTATTGCCAATCTTTTCCTTGCACAAAAAGCAACTTGAGTTGTTTTTACAGTTGGAGAACCTGTGACCGGCCTCACCGCACTTAAAGCACGCAGCCGATCTGTCCTCCTTCTGGCATTTGGCTCCAATATGGCCGTATCCCAGGCATCGATGACACCGGACGACCATTACTCTTCTTTTGATTGGGCAACACATAAAACCAATTTTTACGTGTCCCAATTTCTCCAGCCTGTTCGCCTCTTCCAGGTTAGTGACTACAACCGCGAGCTTCATCCCTCGGCGGTTGGGTCCTAAGACCGTCACTCTCCTGTTTACTGGCTTACCCATTGCTTCAGACAACACTTGTTGCACCTCAGCTTCTTGGGTAAGGCAATCCAAATCACGGATCTCGAGTGTAACTCTTCGATCCAATGACTGCACCTTACCCATGCTTCCAACCGCCTTGGTGACCTCAGCGGTGAAAGCGTCCTTATCGGAGTCTCCTCTGAACTTAATCAGAAGGTCCCCCTTGTTTGTAGCTTTTGCTGCTACTATTCTCGTATGGCTGTCCTCTGGGTTGACCTCTTTGCGAAGCTTACCCAGAACGTCAGCATACGTCAATCCTTTACCGACTCGGATTAGAACTGTGGATCTTTTTGACCCAATTCTTTCCAATTGAGGAATCTTTGGATCTGGTACTTCCGTTTCCATTGGAGGAGCTTCCTCCTTCTTCCTCTTATCGGTTTTGGTTCGAGTCTCTTCTGGACTGTCACCCTCTCTCTTCCGTTTCTGAGCATCTCTTAAGACGCTTTTGAGATTACGCCTATAGAAACGCTCTCTCTCTTTCTTACGGTCCTTGCGGTTGCATTCCGCACCGCTCAGAACGCATGCCAAATCGAAGTCCGACTCATCGGCCGCGGCATGCTTTGCCCTTGCCTCCTTTAGCAGGACGTCGATGACCTTGAGTCTATCCTTTACCGTCCTATTGACGGTCTTCTGAATGTCGCAAGATTTTATCATCTTTGCGACCTCCAACTCCATTTTTTCGAGACAAGTCGCCTCCTCCTTTCTGAGCCGCAAGCATATCTCGCGAGTCTCTTCTATCGCCTCGTCGTCTACTTCTGAGTGGATAGCGCTATGAACGGTTTTTCCGCTACTGCAGCTTGACACACTCAGAAGGCTCGACGTGCTTCCTTTCCTCGTTTTTTTATTTTCCACGATGTTCTGTGGATCTACCCTTTCCACGATCACTCGTGGCACTGCAAGAAATTGTGCGCCCCCACAATCCGCGCGCACTTGAGCATCGGTCCTGGGACCGATGGTGAGATTTCCCGTTTCCGGCCTGCTCACATGGGGTACCTTCTCAGAATTTTTTGAATTCATTTTTTCTTGCTGTTTGGTTGTCCTTTAGTTGAAAGCCCCGCCACCACGACAAGGTCTACCGAACATATCCATGATGTCAATCATGTCTGGCAGTGGATATGCATCCACTTCTCCCAGCACATCGAAGACATCCATGATGTTCAAATGTCCCATTATTTGTCTTAAACTTATCAAATACGAAGAAATCTTTTCTTCTTTTGGTTGTGTTCTAGCCCTAAGTTCGTCAATCACCTCGTCATCGTCGACTGTTGTTAAAAATTCGCGGCGAAAAGCTCTTGAACGTCTTTCATGTGTCGATTTCTCGTCTAATAGTCCTATAGCAACGACTTGCTTGACCTTTTAATATACTGGGAATTGAATGTACTAAGTCATCGTCGTCAATTATCATACAATTTTTGCAATCTTCTAGTCTGTCAAGGAAATCTTCAGGGTCCGCGTTGTCTTCTCCCGAAAATTTAACGTCCCATATATTTAAAGTCTTAATTGTTTTTGACCTACTAATTGCTATACTCTTGTCTGATTTTGACGATAATCCACTTGAAATATCCGAGTCAGAGTCACTTGATGAATCAGTAAATAATGTCCTTCGTATATTTTTCTCTTTGTATTTTTTATTAGTTTGTCGTTTGTACTTGTCCTTATTTTGAGAAATCTTTTTCTCCCTTGTCGAAAACTTATCTGATTTGTCTGAGTCATTTTCACTATCACTATCGTCATTTGATATCCCCCCCTTGGACAGAATTTTTTTATTTGTCTGTACTGGTTGGGGAATATTTCTGTCATATTTATTTTCTCTTGTCTTATCCTTATTTTGAATGGTTTGAGAAACATTTGCCTTGTCATTTTGTTCAAAAGTCTCATTTTGATAATGGTGTTGGTCTTTTTCTCTTTTTAAATGGGAATTCATGTCATTTAGTGGCCATTCAAAATTATTTTCTAATCCATTGTAGTCATTATTTTCATCGATAGGGAGGAAAGTATTAGTCATTTGTTTATTTAATTTAATAAACTGTCTAATTTCGGGACTAATACTGAGTCTTGAAACCGGTTGTTGTAAACTAATGACACTTGGTGCCATTGTAGCCGAAATAATTAGCTGAAGTGTAGTCATGACTGTTGTAGTATTGGGTAAAGGAAATGTATGGGAAGTCGTCGTCAAAATCGAGGTAGTAGGGATTCTAGCTGTTGTCATGACTGGTGTATGACTCATACTTGGAGGACTTTGTCTACTGTACAATAAACTATTCTCCCCTCTCCCTGCTAACATTTCCTGATTTTTGTCAATTTCACCCAAATTACCTAAGTTTCTAATTTTAGGGCTGTCAATTTCCTCACCACTATCACTTGTCACTCCTGCAATTTGGAATTAACATTGTTACTATTTGTCCTACTAGCATAGCAATAATAGATGTCCAGATATCTCTAATCTCGGGACTATCTAGAAGTATTGCCATTCTTTCTTTATAATCAATCATTTTCTCAATTGCGTGAGCCATTTCAATTGTCAAAAAAAAAATTTTAAATAAATTCTAATGTCAAAAAAATTTTATTACACTAGTCAGTATTAACTTAGGGTAATTTTAAATTTTCACGCTTTATTGAAAGTCAGATTAAATTAATTTCAATTTAATTTGAAAAAATTTTCAATTATTAAAAATAAAAATTAATTTTTAGGGCCTAACACACACTATATACGGTCTTGAAACTATTCAATAATTTATTTAATTAATTTTATTCTTTATAAAACTCAAAAAGAATAAAAATTTTGAAAATTTGTTAATTACTAACAAAAAGGGGACACGTCTTCCATATAATACGGCCCTGGTCCTTTTAAAATTTTCACTGTCTCGCGGCAGAAATTTTCATCTCCTTTCCCAAGTCAAAACTTCTCGTCAATTCCTGCATGAGTATTATTTTCGAGCCTACGTGACTAATTTTTGTCATGCGCAATAATTTCCCTAGTCGAAATTTTCCACTGACCGCCAATTTCTATGAACTAAAATAAATTTAATAAACGACGCGAAAAATTATCACTACGCGCATGCGCTATATATCACATGACTATTATAATTTTATTCAACACAAAGCACGTGTTGGCTAATTATTTAAATAATAATGGCAAAAATTATTTATCACTCGCGAAAAATCTAGAAAAATTCACTGAATCTAATAAAATTAAAATTACTGACATCGTCCAAGAGATACACGAAATATTCAACTAAAAAAAATGCCTAACATGAGGTTATGGCGTCTCTCGCCACGCCGTCAACAAAAATTCTCAAGTGTAAAAATGTTTTGTTTTACACAATTATCTCCTCCTCTCCCAAGTCAAATACAACAAAGAAAAAAAATTTACATGTAAATCTTCTCCTCTCTTAAGTCAAATATAGAAATACATATAAATTCTCCTTCTCTCCCAAGTCAAATAAAAAAAATACATGGCACAAAAATAATTTCAAGTCAAAAATCATAGAATAAATTCTAGTCGTGTCTCTAAAGTTTTCCAACATATGTGTCACACGTTGGGCGCCAATTTTATGACGTTTCTTTTAATAATAATTTAGAAAATATAAAAAATCCGAATAGGTTATTAATTCCCATGTTCGTCAAAAATCAAATTTAACACCAAAGTGACAAGTCAGACGCCAGTTAGTTTATTTATTACAAAAACTAACAAAAACAATAATTCAACAATTAACAAGATTGTTAAGAAAAGAAAATAATCAATACTACTTTACAAAATAAAATTATCTCAGAGGAAATTCCGTTGAAAAAAATTAATAAGGGAAAATTAACCTTTTAAAACACGACTTTTAATTTAAATATTTTACTTACTACTTGTTGTCACTATATTTCCTGAATCGTCTTATTATTCCTTGGATAGGATGAACCGCAATAAATAAGTTAGAAATATACAGTTTCGTCTTATTATTTATTTAATTAAACTTTTATCTCTTATAATCAAAATTCAACTCTCTTCACAAACCCATGTCTAAGTTCTTGATACAAAAATCAGACTATATCTCTTATCACATGTGTGTATTCGTCGTCTGCTAAACAGAAGCACGCCGCTAATATTCACATAAAGGGGAGTTTTCACTTCACCCAACACCCTAAGTCAAAAATAGCGCGAATATTTAAATAATAAAGGAAATAATTAAATTGACGAGACTACTTCGTTACAATGTTTATTTTTAATTTTTATATACTCATTTTTCGACAAATAAATTGTAACGATCATAATCATTCCTGTATTATCAATCGTTACAATCGCTCAGATTATCATTGTTAATTTGATATTAGTTAGTAAGAGCTTATTTGAATTCGCGCCCTAGCGCCAAATTTTGTCACCAGGCGCCGCACGCGCCGGAATTAGCAGACGACAAAAGCACATGTTGCTTTTGCCGGTTGAAGCACCTCAGATTGGTGTGAACCACGTTTTGATACATAGCCTCTGCGCTTATACAATTTGTAATTGAAAAATCAAAGTTTAATAAATAATGTAAGTGTGTTTCTAAATTGCGCTATTATTTGTTACTGTTTCCATTATCATCTACAAAACTCAGCGCAGATTGCAGTGCAGATCAAGAAGGAAATACAAGTAAGTTTGTTAAATCTCTCTACATACTTGGCTCGACAATGAAAAGGAGGAAGGAAATATTCTTGTAAGTGTATAGTTATTCGGCTGATTGATTGTGTCACCCCGTTTAAGTCCTACCCACGTCTTATTAATTTAACAATATTAAAATCTTAAATAGGCTGCCACATTTTTGGCGCCCAACGTGATTTTTTGTGTGTGAAAAACTTGCATTTAAAAAAAAATACCTGAAATTCTTTTCTCTTTGTGTGAGTCTTCATACGGAGTCTCCCTTGCGTCGCCGCAGTAGCGTCACGCCAGGGCTACTCTCTCTTGACACTCACACAACTATATGCCTTTACCGCGCCTGAACAGCAGTTCACTGCCATTTTCGAAAACAAAATAGTTCCTTTTTCGAATTATTCTCTCGCGCTAAAAGTCATATTAAATTATAACCAGCCGAATTTCCGTACCTTACTGCTATTTATTGCCAGTTATTTTGCTTTATAAAATTTTATTTATTACAATAAATACTATGAAATCAAGCATGCTCAATTTTCCCTGATCTCTCACTGCTTTCGCTTGCACCAATCTCGCACTGCACTACGAACAATACAAAATTATAAATTTTTTGCTTATAATCACACCAATCTCACTATACTTCGCTTTAAAAAAAAATAAAAATAATATCTGATAATTATTTAAATTGTTTTTGTAATTCGCTCAAAATAGAATAATTATTATTTAAATTATTTTTGTACTTCGCTTTGTAAAACTGATTACTGCTTTTACATTTCTGCCAAATTTTTTTTCTACGCTAATATAAATAATCGCATTTTATCATAAAATATCTTTGAATTGATTCTCGCCAATTTTCTCGACTATCATGCGTGACAAAAAATAATTAAATAAATTTTTGTCAATACGGTAGCTAAAATTGCTACAACAAAATACGGAATTGCGAGTCTCCAGCTTGATTAGCGCGACGAAAACACAGCTGTGTTTACTATCACAGCACAAATACCTTGCTTCTTTCAGGTCTTCGAAATTACAGAAATAATGAAATTTTAATTCTATTTCAATGACTTCTGTATAATCTTTCTATTAAAGAGAGAAACTATTTTGAGAAAGGGAAAAATCTAATCAATTTAAAAAAAAATAATTTTATTAATAAAACTTTGATTATCGAAATTAAAACGAAATGTAACTTTTATTTTCCTCTGAATTAATAAATAAAATTAATTAACAATTGAAGCAGGAGAATAAAAATTACCAATAATAAAATTGACAAAAAATTCTATTAATAATTAAATTAACAAAATAGAAATTATTAACAATTAAATTGGTAAAATAAAAATGTGTTAAAAAAAAATTTTGAATTGTTAAATCAAAATTTCTTCAATGATTAAATTGAGAAAAGAAATTCTTTTTTCTCACTAATAATTGGATAAATAAAAAAAAAATAATAAAAGAAAATAACTTAATTTGAATACAGTAATTCCCAAAATTCAAGCGTAATAAATTGCCTTGAATTTAAACAAACTACTGAATTTTTAAAAAATTTTTTTTCCAGCGCAATAATTCAATTGAATTAAATCGCCAACAAAATCTTTTTTTTTGATGTGTAAAACGACTTAATTACTTAATAGTAATCAATCAATAAATTCCAATTTTTTAATTATTGAATTTTTTCTTCCTTTCTCAGAATTAAATAAAGTTGATTTAGCCAATTAACTAAATTAACTTATAAACAAAATTTTTTTTTATTTAAAATTTTTTTTTATCTTTCTCTTTTTTAACTATGGGAAGAAGAAGCCCAAAATCAAACACACAAAAAATGCAAACTCGTTCTGACACGAATGCATTTAAAAGAAGTGACAAAATGACTCGCAGCCCCACACAATCCACAAAAAAAAATAACAACATTACCGAACACATCCCACAAGAAGAAATATGGAGCGCAACTAGAGAAAATTTAGAAACTATTTTTCCACAAAATCAAAGACCTCCTACACCAACAGAAAATTTTAGCCCAATTCACAGCGATATCGAGGAAAACGAAACCGCTCGCGCTAATATTCCAGGAGAAAATGAAAATTTGTTAGATAACACAACTGACATTTTCAAAGATACTAACACAAACGACCAATTACAGACTTCATTAGGAGCAATCTCGAAAACATTATTTTCTCGCCGTGGCCGTAAAACCAAACACCCGGTAGCTCCAATCACAACTTCACACTTAAAATCATTTTTTACACAGGTTGAATCTTTTGCTTACAACCAAGCAGAAGAGAACAAAAAATTTAAAGACGAAATGAAAAACATGTTACGGAACCATCTTGAAAATTCTAGCCAAGAAATACGCATAGCACACAAAGAAAACCACTTCGAAATAACCGCGCTTAGAAAAGAAACTTCTAATTCAATAGAAAAACTTCGCGCTGAAATGAAATCCCAAATTCAAGACCTTACGAATAAAATGTCTCAAATGCAAACGGGACATGCGCCATCCCCATGGCACGACTCTCCTTGGGCATATGATAATAGTGGTGAACATATTCCACATGCACAACAGACTAGTTTACCCCCCACTACAACAACCACAACGGTCACATTCACGGGTAACACTTCGACTGTAAGTCAAAGTACAACTGCAGTTGCACCACCAACATGCCCACCACTTTCTTATGCTACTCCTTCGCGACAACGCTCTTCTACAAACCGTACATTACATTTCTCCGAACAACCAAATTATTTGTTTCAAACACCCTTAAATTCAAACACAAATAATCATGATTTAATTGATATGCATTCGAACCCGGCTCTTAAAGCATCTATCGCGCAACGAACTCACGTTCCAAATTTGCATAAAATCATTAAATCGTGGGACCTCAAATTTCTCGGAAAACAAGATGCAAATGAATTTCTCGACGAATTTGAAAGAAAAATGACCGCTTCGGCAATCGATCCCAACGACGCGCTTCCGATTTTTTCCCAAACGCTCACAGATACCGCGCTTTCATGGTTCAACATGTTTCGCCATAAATGGACAACATGGACCGAATTTTCTAAATCATTCCGAAAAACATTTAGCGATGTAAACGACGATAACCAAATCCTCAATAAAATACATCGCGCGGTTCAATTAGAAAACGAAACAGGGATAGACTACGTCATAAAAATCGGCGCGCTCTACAACAAACTGAGAAATAAAATTCCAGAAAATATTCAGCTCGATAAAATTTATCTAAGCCTGCATTCGGAATTAATTTCTCTTTTCGATCGCGACAGCTTCAACTCTTATGAAGAACTTTTAGATAAGATACGCAAATACCAAGAAAAAATCGAATTTATGCAGCAATCAAATAAATTGCGCGAACAAGACGCGAAACGGTCTCGTAACCCGCGCAATAGAAACCAATTGAATGCAATCGATTCGCAGGTATCTCAATCCAAAACCCCTTCCGTCGAATCTACCGAAAATGATAAAAAAGCAGAAAATAAACAAAAACAAGCGAATAAAAGTAAACAAAAAGCGAGACCAGAGCCCGAACAAAACTTAAATAAAATAGACATCTATCAAAAACAGTTCGAGTCTCTTAAACAAAAATTAAATATAAGCGATGCAGAAAATTCCAAAGCGAATAAATCTAAGAGCGCTTTGATCAGTCCGAACAAACCTTCGTCTTCTCACAGATCGCGCAAACGTTCCACTTCTACTTCTTCTCACTCCTCAAGCTCTGCTTCGTCGCAGAAAGGGGGGGAAAAGCGTAGATCGTCTGCGCACAAGAAAAGCGAAAATCCTCGTGGCCAAAGCGGTCGTGGAAATGGCCAACGAGGCGGAAACAATCAAAATAATCGCGGACGCGGTTATAACAATGGTTGGAATGGCAGTGGCCGTGGTTACAATCAAAACCAAGGCTACTACCATAACTCCCCCCACTCTCCGCAGTACTACCAGCTAGATTGCCAGTGCAACGCGCAAAACGTAAGACCTCCTTGTCCCCCGCACGCGCCTCCACCGCAACCAACGCAGCCACCATGGCACGGTAATTACAACCGCGATTACTCACAAAACTACAGTCACAACGCGCAGGATAATCAATCAAAAAACGACAGAGATGCCAGGAGAGACTAGATCTCCCTGGCAAAACCCCATCTAAAAAAAACGAAAATCGACCGATAAACTACTTAAACGAAATTGATACTTCTTCAAATTCAGAAAGCATCCCTATCGCTAATGAATCAACGTACAATCCTTAAATAGCATCAACACTAAACAAAGCGCATGCAGGTAGGATTGATACTAGTGATTCTGAGAGCGATTATGATGATTGCTTATATTCTGAATCTGAGACTGAGTACTCTGAATCTGAGGAAGATTGCTCTCCCACAATAGGCGCGTGCATATCTTCACTCAGATCGTTGCCACTGATTAATCAGTCGAACAATTTATTTGTATTGACTGATAAAACTAAGCGCAGAGTACACAAAGGGCACGCATCGCCCTCACCGCCTCAGGAAAGATGTACAATTTCCACGGTAATCAAAATCGGTAACGAAAGAATAACAGCGCTTCTTGACACAGGTAGTGATCGAACTTTCATGTCAGGAGAACTTTTCGACAAACTCGAAAGTTTATCTAACGGCGATCCGATTAAGGATGCGATAACGCGCGCCGGCGTACAACTCGCGCAACGCGATCACGTAGCCGCACCTCGCCATTCCGTAAAATTCGATATCGAAATAGATAATTGCCACGGTGAAATATGGTTTGCCGTTCTCGACGGTCTAACTACACCAGTCATTTTAGGCATGGACTTTATAACTAGTTGGCAAGTTATTATTGACGCAAGCCAAGGTTATTGGTCCATAAAAGGGTCCTCGGTTCGTCACCCTTTAGGCTCCATTTCCAATGCGCGTAGCTTCCTAAATTCGGCTCAATTAATCGAATTATCTCCGGAACAAAGGAATAAATTAAATGCGTTTCTAGATGATAAATTATCGAAATTTACTTCTGGAACCGGTGTTACCAACCTCACGACACACGTGATAGAACTCACCGATCCCACGCCATTTAAATTAAAGCCTTATCGCCGCAGCTTAGAAGCGAACAAAATTATTAACGATCAAATTGACACTTACCTAGATAAAAAGTTTATAGTTAGAAGCAACGGACGCTTTGCAAGCCCAGTGGTGCTCACATACCGCAAAGACGGTAGGCCTAGAGTATGCATGGACTTTCGAATGTTGAACAAAAACACCAAGAAGTCCGCATACCCTTTGCCACGTATGGACACCATACTTGATGCGCTATCTGAGGCTAACATTATTAGCACTATCGATTTGACCGACGCGTTTCACCACATACCAATTGACCCGAAATCGCGCGAATTCACAGCCTTCGTTGTCCCCGGTCGTGGACAGTTCGAATGGGTCAGAATGCCCTTCGGACTAACAAATGCGCCGGCAACTTTTCAAGCTCTAACAGATAGACTAAAAGAAAAGTTCGTAGAACAAATTCGCGCTAAAAATCTGCCCGAACATTATTGCGAACAAGTTCACGCGTATCTCGACGATTGGATAATAATATCCAAAACTTTCGAAGAACATATTCTGCTTCTCGATGTAGTCCTTACCATTCTACAGGAAGCAGGATTGTCCATCAACCGCGATAAATCCTATTTCGCGAAATCGTCGGTAGAATATTTAGGTTTCATCCTCGACAAAGACGGTTTAAAACCAAACGCAAAACGCGTCGAACCAATTCTCGAACGAGCGACTCCTCGTAATCGAAAAGAATTACGCCGGTTCAACGGCTCAGTAAACTGGTACCATCGGCACCTGCGCAATATTGCAAAAGTGCAAGGACCGCTAAATAAATTGGCGAGTCCAAAGGTACCTTGGCACTGGACCGAAGAACACGAGGCCGCGTTCAACGAAGTTAAAGAATCCCTAAAAAGTGCTTTAACTTTAGTTGCGCCTAGGCCCGGTTTACCATTCTACTTGTATACCGATACAAGCGACACCGGTATCGGTGCTATCTTGACACAGCAAGATGGAGAAAAAGAATACTTAATCACATGCTTAAGCAGACCTTTAAGAGGTGCTGAATTAAATTACACCACCACTGAAAAGGAATGCTTGGCCGTGATTTTCGCTATTAAGAAGCTCCGCTGCTACCTCGAATGCGCTGAATTTACTGTGATCACAGATCATTCCAGTTTAATTTGGTTGCAAGGTCTCAAGGACCCAAAAGGCAGACTTGCGCGATGGGCTCTCGAGCTGTCCGCAAATAACGTCAAGATTGAGCACAGAAAAGGTACGACTAATGAAGCGCCGGATACACTCTCACGACTTTACGAAGACGATACTAACGATACGCACGTTACCGAACTAAATTCTGTTAAAAGTCAAAGTTGGTACGACCAGATGTTAGAAAAAGTTCGTAAAGATCCCTCGCGCTACGAAAGATACAAAGTTGATTCGAACAATCAACTATACTACTATAAACCAAATATGGTTAAAGAAACCATCGGCGATAATAACGCCTGGAAAAAGATCCTTAAAGAAAACGAAATTTTACCGATTATTACCGAGCATCATTGCACTACTCAATCCGCGCACCAAGGCATCAATAAAACTTATCTTTCGATAATTAACCATTTTTATTGGCCCGGTATGCGCGAAGACATCAAGCGTTACGTTAATGAATGCGAGACTTGCCTCAAGTGTAAACCAAAAAATACACCCCCACAAGGGTTAATCTATCCGCGCAAAATTACGGAACCTTGGGAAACAGTGTCACTCGATATAGTAGGTCCCCTACCTCGGTCGAAATCTGGTAAAAGCTACATATTAGTTTGCGAAGACACATACACTCGGTACATAGACTGCTTCGCGCTGTCCAAAGCAGACGGTCCCAAGATTGTAAAATGTTTAAACACTCTTGTTAACCGCTGGGGAGCGCCTAGAATCGTTATTACTGACAACGGTACAGAGTTTGTAAACCGCAACATTACATCGTTTTTACAAAAAATCGGTTCAGTACAACGTACAACACCCGTATATCACCCTCAGGCTAACCCTGTTGAGCGCGTGAATCGTAATTTAAAAACTATGCTAGCGAGCCTTCTCGGTGAAAACCAGCGCGAATGGGATACTCTACTCGAAGATATCCAGTTTGCATACAACACTACCGTTCACACTTCCCTTGGAGTCACACCAGCTTTCCTAAACTTTGCCCGTGAACCAAGACGAACAGGCGAACCACCGCGCGAGGTAAACACTGACACAAACACAGATGAGACGCTTAACACTTGGTTAGATCGCGTAAAACAAATAGATGCGCTTCGCGCAAAAGTTGAACAACTTATGACTAAGGCCAGTAAAAAGCAAGGCAAGATATATAATAAAAATCGGAAGAATAATATTGACTTTCAACCTGGAGATTTCGTATTCTATCCTAATAACGTCTTGTCTAACGCTGCACGTGGTTATAGTTCCAAACTAGCGCCTCGTTATAAAGGTCCAGCAAAAGTTCTAGAAAAATTGTCACCCATGATAGTTTCCATTGGCAATATGCATGGCAAAAAGTTAGGGAAATATCACATAAACGATTTAAAACCGGCAAGAAAAAACCTTAGATCGCGTACTATTTTGTAAACCTCCTTTTCAGATATCAATTCTACAATATGGAGTCTACAACCAGCGCGAAAGCACCAACAACCAACGATGTATCCGAGGTTATGGCTGTATACTTTGCTTCTCCGCCAGAGGGTCAGCAAATAGATGACGCCAAGTTAAAATTCGAGGAATCACCGACGGGTTTGGTCGCGCTTTCCAAGTCCGCTTTCAACAAAATTGTCGCCGAGCGCGATAACTTTTTGGCTCAACTAAAAAAGGCCGACAAAACAATCGCCAAACTGCGCAAAGAGGTCAACACCTCAGACCCTAGCATCAATGCGGATATTGCTGAACAAAACCGCGAAATCATTCGACTGAATCAAGAGCGTCGTAAAATGTCCGATCGTCTTACTGCAGCAGAGGCGGAATCTAAATCTTCAGCCGAACAAGAGGCCAAATTCAAGGCCGAAGCCCAATCCTACAGGAAGGATTACAACGAATTAATAGCAGATTATTATCATATCGAAGACCAGTATTACCGTCTGCACAATTTCTTCAAATCCAGCATTAAAGAGGTTTTCCGCGCCATGACCGAGCTGCGCGAACCTAGACTACGCCCGAAAGCTCCAGATGGATGCCTCAACTGTGGAGTCTCTGGCCACAGCTACCGCTCGTGCGCAAAGGAATATACGGGTCTCTTCTGCCAAATTTGTTCTCACCCAGACTTCTCGACAGACGACTGTCCATGGCCGCACTATTTAGAATTGCCTAAACAACTACCTGACCACAAGCGATGCAAGTGCTGCTGACGTCCGCGCAACATGCCGGACCCGAACTGCTACGACTGTCGCAAACGTATGATACAAGAAAACATCGCGCTGCGCAACCAACTTGCCATCGAATTGGAGATTAAACACTCACTTCCTCCGGCATTACCTAGGGAACCAAGCAAAAACGATGACAATCCCTCACCACAAGAAGAAGAAGGACTGACGCAGAATACTTGTGCTCAAGAAGCCCTGCTCCTCGGTGCCGAAGCGTTACAAAAATTGTCCCCACACGCTTCAGACGTCGCCAACGCTACCCTTTGGCAAAGCTTAGCTCAAGCCTATAGCCTCGTCGTTGATAAGGACGACACTCTTCAAGAAGAAGACGAAGAAGATGAGAAGAAGTGATCCTCTTTAGTGCGTGTCCATCCTCATAAACTATTTTTATTTTTGATTATTTTATGCCGTTGCATAAACCTTTATTATTTTATTACTTATTAAATTTAATATCTAAGTTACAAAAAAAAAAATTTCTTTCGTTTCTCAACGACTATTTCAATTATGATTTCAAGCGCCGTTGCGCATTAGAATTATATTCTATTTTCTTAAATTCTTTTTGTTAACTAAAATTCAAGGTATTATTACGCCAACAGTATTCAGCGAACAACATTACATTGTATCGCGCGGAAAAATTCCAAAGAATAATTTTAGGTAAACCTACCAAAGGAAGGTCAAAGTGCCTTTATAATTGTCTACCTCATCGCTAAGACTTATTGAAAATAAGTATACTCTAATAAACTAAGTGAATAATAAATTCAGTCTAAATTAATACTATCTAGTTAATCATACCAGCTATTATTTTACGATTGATTATTAGGATGAGCAGTGAGACATCAGTGATAAAATAATTCTAAATCCTTTTTACTTCTTTTCTATAGTTTATTTGAATTTTATAATGATATTATTATTAATAATTATTGATTACTTTCTTTTATGTTTCTTTTAACTTTAAACTTCTAAATTGTTTTTCTTACTAGCCAAGATTTCATAGAATGGAGAAATTTAGCAAACTAGACTAATTCAGAGCGCTAGTAACGATTTAGAAAGGGGGAATTGTAACGATCATAATCATTCCTGTATTATCAATCGTTACAATCGCTCAGATTATCATTGTTAATTTGATATTAGTTAGTAAGAGCTTATTTGAATTCGCGCCCTAGCGCCAAATTTTGTCACCAGGCGCCGCACGCGCCGGAATTAGCAGACGACAAAAGCACATGTTGCTTTTGCCGGTTGAAGCACCTCAGATTGGTGTGAACCACGTTTTGATACATAGCCTCTGCGCTTATACAATTTGTAATTGAAAAATCAAAGTTTAATAAATATTGTAAGTGTGTTTCTAAATTGCGCTATTATTTGTTACTGTTTCCATTATCATCTACAAAACTCAGCGCAGATTGCAGTGCAGATCAAGAAGGAAATACAAGTAAGTTTGTTAAATCTCTCTACATACTTGGCTCGACAATGAAAAGGAGGAAGGAAATATTCTTGTAAGTGTATAGTTATTCAGCTGATTGATTGTGTCACCCCGTTTAAGTCCTACCCACGTCTTATTAATTTAACAATATTAAAATCTTAAATAGGCTGCCACAAAATGTTTATTTATATTATATATATATGGTTTTTTGTTGTATTTTTAGACTGTCACAACAGAAATTTGTTTTGTTGATCTGAGTTAGTGAGGTTAAGAACATTTGTTTACGAAGTGCATACCTTATGCTGTTGAGGTGATTACTATTTAAAATATTTTAAATAAATCTTAAAAAGATTACAGGCTTATTTAAAACCGTTTGATTATTAATTAAAAAAGGAATTTAAAAGTTTCTCAATTAAGATCGATTTTGCCTGGTTTTGTATCTGTCACTTTAATGAATTTGTCAATAGTCTTAGACAAATGCGATGTCGACCCACTGTCGAGACACCAAACACTATTTTCGCTTACTTTTTCTAAACTATATTTTCAAAATTAAATAAATTAAAAAATATCACATAAAACTTACTTCTCTTTTATATTTTACATCATTTTTGGTATTTTCCTTCTCTTCAAAATCCATAATTTCTTCTTCAAACTTTGAAATAACTTCTTTTTCAGCATTCTTCGCATTTTTCCTTTTCTTCTTATTCTATTAGAAAGATAAAATATTTGTTTAGAAAATAATGCAATATTATAAATTCATAAAAGAAATTAAATTATTATTTAGGTACTACGATATACGAGATTGAATTTAGAAAAGAATATAATAACATTTGCTTATATTATACTGTATAATTAATACACCTTACTAATCAATTATTTAGAACTCTTAATTAATAGTTAATTCACATTTATTGAACATTAAACTCTTTTAATTTTTTTAAGGAGGAACCCGACAAAGAATCTGGCAAAAAGTTTATATATAACGTGCATGGAAATATTCTTTTTGTGGTAATATATGTAGTGTATACATATATATATATATATATTTTGAAACAGGTCATAATTAAATCGAGCTATTTTTAAAAAGATCTGTGAATAATTTTAAAAATTATATGTAATAATGTGGTGAAAATTTTGAAATTTTTTATGCTTATTTAATACATCGAAATACATCATTTTGCAAAATATCAAAAATTTCGGTGAATTTTTAATGTGTCTGGTTCCTCCTTAATATACAAAGTATTAGGTACTTAAATACTAAAAATAATTGTAGAATTTCGTCTATATATACTCTTTTAAACTAGGATTTCAAAGGACAATAATTTTTGAAGTTGTAAAAGTTCTTCTACACAAAAAATATATTTGAAATGGACTTGCCAAGCAACGTATTCTTGAAATATCGTATTCTTTTTCCTCCGCAGATGAACAGGAGGAGGCGCAAAACGTCCGCATTCTAAATCCTCACGAGTATCTAAATATTTGAAATAACAGTGTGAAAATTGAATATAATGTACATGGGTTCACAAAAAAATTTTCTTGCAAAATTTTGTGAAATGATTCCCAAAAAATTTTCTGATATACTCCTGAAAATTTTTGAGATTTTCTTATAAGTTATTCCACTAAATTCCCAAAGAATATTTTTACGTGAGGGTCGTTTTCAATATTACTTTCATTCAAAACAATTTATTTACCATTTTTAAAGTTAATGGACATATTTTAGAACTACATTTTAGGAAGTATATAAAACTACGTTATAAATTAAAAACATAATGTCCTAAAATGGATTATTTTAATATTTAAAATTAAGAAAAACAATTGAAGAAAAAAATTTCACATTCGCATGGATAGAAAAAGACTTATTATTTTTTAAAGATGATGTCGAAATAAAAAATTAAAAATCAATAACTTCTTTCTTAGATAAAACACATTTTAAATTTAATAAGGGATGATCCATGAATAACGTTGCACTTATTTATGCATAGTCCCTAATTAAAATTGTTTGAATACTCTCGATGCAGGTACATTACCCTCACAGCACCGAAATTTTTCTAAAAATTTATTAAATATTTAGGAAAGTTTCGGTGCTGTGGGGGTACTTTTAATAATTACACATTTGAAGAATATAAGAAATTTCTATCAATTTTTATATATAGCAAATTTTTTTCAAACTTTTAATATTAACAAAGAAAAACGCTTATGAAAAGTATTTTGAAATGTCTATTATTTGCTTGGAAGAAATACAAGAGAAATACATGTAGTGCTAATTTGCAATAATTACCTGAAATTTTTAAAACAAGAACACGTCGCTTTTCAATCATTTCTGCCCCATCACTATTTACGTTTTTAAGCTTCACTTTAAAATACTTTAATTTTAAACTTGATTGTTTTTTAGAATTCCAAACATCTTAATCAAACTTTTTAATACACTCAACAGGAACAATATTTTGGTCTTTTGTATTTTCTTCTTCAACACGTGCTAACATTTCTTGTTTCCAGTCCATTTTACTAAATATTCGTAAAACAATACGTAGAAAAAAGAACACTTAAAAACTGATTTTAACCACTGAAGACGTGTTGCCTTATGATGAATAGTATGACAGAATCTTTGGAAAAGGACAGTTTAAGTTGCCCGCTTAGTTTTCCCCTACCCAACATTTGTAACCAGCGGTGTCACAAAAATTCTAAGTACCTAGTGCATAAAAGTTTCATATTTTATTGTAGTTGAAAAAACAGTATATAATTTTTTCTTTAAATTTTACATAAAAAATCAACAACATGTATTGCAAAAATTTTTTTTAAATCAGTCGCTAAAGTAGAACATGTCTTATCCAAATAAAAACTTAAAATTAGTTTTTACTTTAAACATGATATTAATTTTAAAGAAATAAACAATTTATCAATTATTTTGGTAAAATGAATTTAGTTAAAATAATTAATTCTTCTTAGACATTTCAAATACCAAAATAATTATTTATTTTTTTCTTCAAAATTATTATATATTGCCATAAAAGAAATGCTTATGGATTTATTTTCACTAGTGAAGATAGTTATTTTCCAAGATATTATTTTATAAAATGTATTTTTCATTAATATTATATGGGTGATTCTTCTGAAAGTGACATTTTTGATGTTTTGATTAATTTTACAAAATCTACCTGATGATTACTGATATTTTTATACATTAAACATATCCTAAACAAATTTTTAATTTTAATTTCATCTCCAAAGCAATTTTTGCAATTTTTAGGCAATTTTTGCTAAAAACAAAAGCTATACGCGTAAAGCAATTGTTTCTTTTTAAAAAAAGCAATTTTTGACTCAAATAAAGGCAAAAATTCCTTTACTTAAGGCAAAAATTACTATTCTTTTAAGAAACAATTGCTTTACGTGTATTGCTTTTGTTCTTAAGCAAAAATAGTCTAAGTAAAAAACACATACTGCCTATTATTTTTTTCAGTGTACAAGTAAATTTAACGGTATATTTCAATGATAATATAAAATTATGGTGTGACATTTGTATATTTTACTAAAAAATATATTTTAATTGTGCCCTAATGTGAATAAATGTAAACAAAAATGTATTTTTCATCTCCGAAGCTTTTTTTTCTTTTCCTTGAAATGTGCGAGTTTTTTTGTTTTTAGTATTTACCTGCATTATTTTGAAAAAATTTAAGAATAAATTCAAAAAATATACTTAAAAGTTGATATTTTCTTTTTCGAAGAAATTTTCAAAAGTAGGTTGAAAAAAAACTTTCAATATCGACACCACAAAAATAAACAGAATTGCACACAACTCGGGACATTTATTTAGGGTGATAACACCCTTCTCTAATTAAAATTACAATGCTCTAACTATTTTCGTTTGAAAGATAATGAATTTTAACGGTTTTGGAAGTTTAACTTTTCGCCCCAGTCTCCCCTATGTATATACATTTTTCAGGAACTATACACTTCTGGAGGCTCATATTTTCTGAGGGCTTTTGTTACTTCAGTTCGTGTGAACCTTCCGAAAAGATATTTTGCCTGAAAGTAACATTGGAATGAAAGAGATCCTAGTTTTGGAACTTGGCGAGGTTTAAATAAATCGGAACAGATATTAAATACAAAAACACAAAGCTATTTATTATGAAGAAATACAAACAGAAACTATAATCTTTTACTTGGTTTTAGCGTGAGCATCGTATCATTACTAACTACATGTGCGATCTTTTCTCTTGAATTTTGTTATCGCGCCTTTATACAGGTTTGTCTCCTTTTCGTTTTGGGGACTACTTTTAACTACACATGCGTATATATTATCAAATTCTAACATCCTCCCCCTTTTTTGTTTAGAGGACACTCAATATTCAAATTTACAAATTACAAATATATTTAGTTCAACTTTACAAATTTACATATTAAATTAAATTAAACCTTTTCATTCACACTCATTCCAATACTTTCTCTCTTTTTTTTAAATACAATTGTTCTAAAATCGAAATTTTAAAATTCACTCCACACAATTATAATTTATTTACACTTTTTTTTTTTTAATAACCCATTCGTTCTGGTTTTCTACTCACTCTCCCACTTCTAGTCGTAGTGACTTTAACTTTATTTTCCGAATTGGAATTGTCAAAAATTGATTTTATAACATCATATGATTCATCTCTTTCAATTTCGTCTTTCGCACTGTTATCGTCGTTTATTGAATTGTTGTCCTGATGGATCTCAAGGGGGTAAAGTCTCTGAATTGGCCTTTTAATTATTCCATTTTTCGTTTTCAAAATACAGACTCTTATTTCATCATCGCGTCCCCTAATCACCTCCATTACTCGCGCGAGAGGCCAATCAATCCTTTTATGAATATCGTCTCCCACCAAAACAACGTCATTTACCTGAATTTTTCTCGTTTCTTTTTTACCCTTCTTTAAAAGAAGTTGTCCTAAATATTCTGATCGAAAACGTGATCTCAAATCGGTTAAAATCTTTTGTCGATATTTTAGTTTCTTTCCTAATTTTTCTGTGTCAATCATATCCAGATCGGGGGTACCGACTTCACGTATTTCTTGTAAGAACAAAGAGGAACTTAAAGGTTTCAAATCATCTGGATTTTCAGTTGCGTATGTTAAGGGTCTTGAATTAATTATCGCCTCTGCGTCACATAGTGATGTGACCAGTTCCTCCTGTGAGAGTACTGCCTTGCCGAGGACTTTTCTCAATATTACTTTCAAAACGCCTATTTGTCTCTCCCACCATCCTCCCCACCATGGGCCGAAGGGGGATTGAAATACCACTTTATTCGTAACGTTTCTGTATTTTTCACGATTTTCACCCAATCCAAACCATTTAACGCGTTCGCTGTCCCCACAAAGTTAGTTCCGTTGTCACTATATATATATTCCGGTCTCCCACGTCTAGCGATAAACCGACGAAGACACAAAATAAACCCCTCTACTGAAAGCGATGAGGCAAGTTCAAGATGTACCGCTCTATATACTGCGCAAGTAAAGATGCAAATCCATCTCTTCCCTCCCCCTTTTATGTAGACCGGTCCGGCAAAATCTACCCCGGTTGCTTCAAAAATTGCAGCATCCCGAACACGATTTAATGAGAGTGGAGGAGAGTCGCACTCTAATCTCTTTACTTTTTGTTTTTGACAAACAACGCATTT